GCTGTGGAACAACATGGACAGTGGCGAGCAGGAATAGAAAGCAAATTCTAAAACACCAGCAGCCCAACACACAAGACCTCATGGAAGAGAAAGTGCTCAAGAAACCTTGGCTTTGAAGGGGATTCCATGAAGGGAGGTAATTTTGCAGGAGGAAGGAAATGAACGCATGGTCACCCTAATAGGCAGTGGCAGGAAGGTCCTGATGCAGGCTAGTGTTAGAGCTGACATCCCACAGTTCAGGATGTACAGATGCACCTTCTTGCTAAATAGATTTTCCAGCATTTTTCATTTGGCCTAGCAGTAGCCAATGAGACAAATCGCTCCACTGAAAAGTGCTTCTTCTGAGCAAAACAGATGACCAGAACCTGGCATCATCTCTGCTAAATCTGGGTGACCAAGGAGAACAAAGCCAGTCTGAGACCTGGCCAGCAATACCCACCTGGCGCTTCCTCTTGCATAACCTCAACTTTGATCTGTGATAGGTAATGGTTCTCTCTTTGGGGGAAATGTTGAGATTCAAAGTACTTCTTGCATTGGGGTGAGGAGCGGCAGCTCCAGCTCCTGCCCCTCTCCTCCCTTCACACCCACTTTCATCACAAGCTCAGCTAAGGCAATGTTGAGAATTGAGAAAACTCCTGTTTCCATCTGGGGGTAGATGCTTGCTGTGCACCCCCTAACATGGGTAGCTCAGAAAACACCCAATGGGTGATGGGACTCTCAGGCTGCTTGTTCGCCTGGGTGGGCAGTTGTGGGATCGTGTCCTCACGATTTTTAGGAGACTTTAGTCCAGCTGGAAGGATTTTCTGTAAACCACCAAACTACATTACAGGTCTTGCAAAGGTTGTTTCAGTCTCAATCTTTATTTTTAATGCATCCTGAAACCACGTCATTCTGGCAGTACTCTAGATTTGATCTTTGTCCCCTGTCTATACAGACTGGGGACGAGAAATTGTTTTGTTTTTCCAACAGGTTCTGGAATCTCTAAATCCCCTCTCAATATTTTCTGTAAACTGGCCAGTTCCTCCCTGAGCTCATGTCTATCTTGTAGGTCTTTGCCTTATGCAACTGAGCGGAGCATGGTTGAGCTCACAATGCTCTGGTCGGAGCACCTCGCCCAAGTCGGCAAGTTCATGACATATATTTCCCCTCTCCTCCCGGTTACTGCAGGTAAACAGCTTTCCCAGCACTTTGTACTAGTTAATACGGTGGTCATTCTCTCAGATTTAAACCAGTTCCCTTGCCTTGCATCAGATATCTCAAAGCCAACGCCACTTGTTTTCAGTTGTGGCTACATTCTTGCTCCACTTATAGGTACCAATTTCTTTAACAGTTTGCTTTTGCCACATAACAAACCTGCTTGACCTGCTTTGCTCCTGGCTGCATTCTGTGCCCTGAAATCTAGTTTTTCTGTTGTTGACATAGGTACTCTGGCTTTCTTTTGACTGCTGTTAGCATGGCACATCTTTTCCCATCATCTTAACTTTTAATCTATTTGTGGTTCTCTCTCTCTCTCTCTCCCACCACCTCTGTCTGTCTGTCTGTCTCTCTCTCTCTCTCTCTCTCTATATATATATACACATATATATATATACTTTTTTTTTTTTTTTGGAGACAGAGTCTCACTCTGTCACCCAGGCTGGAGTGCAGTGGCCCGGTTTCAACTCACTGCAACCTACGCCTCCCGGGTTCAAACAATTCTCCTGCCTCAGCCTCCCAGGTAGCTGGGATTACAGGCATGCGCCACGACGCCCAGCTGAGTGGAGCCTGGTTGAGCTCGCAATGCTCTGCGTTGGAGCACCATGCCCAAGTCAGCAAGTTCACGACGTAAAAAAATTTTTTTTTAATTTTTAGTGGAGACAGGGTTTCACCATATTGGCCAGGCTGGTCTCAAATCCCTGACCTCAGGTGATCGGCCCACCTCAACCTCCCAAAGTGCTGGGATTACAAGCATGAGCCATTGCGCCCCACCTGTGGTTATTTATTTATTTCATTTTATTTTAAGACAGGGTCTCACTCAGCTGCCCAGGCTAGAGTGTAGTGAGGCAATCACTGCCTACTGCACCCTTGACCTCCTTGGTTCAAGCAATCCTGCCACCTCAGTCTCCTGAGTAGCTGAGACCACAGGCATGCCACCATATCCAGTTAATTTTTATTTTATTTTATTTTATTTTATTTTATTTTATTTTATTTTATT